GCAGGCACAAGCCTGGAAAATGACGGCCGCGGCGCCCTCTCGAGAACCGAAAACGGACAACTCACGAATCGACGTGTCACTGTTGGGGGTTCTGTCCACCCCCGAGAGGAGGAGGAGGACGACGAGGAGGAGGAGGAGGGGGAGGAGAAGGAGGAGGAAGAGGAAGAGGAGGAGGAGGAGGAGGAGGAGGAGGAGGAGGAGGAGGAGGGGCCGCGGCCGACGGTCGCTGCCGCGTACTCGAGCGAGCTCGCGGCCGCGGTCGCTGCCGACCAAAAAAACGGTGCCACTCTCACGCGGGGGGCCGACCGTCGGGCGAGCGCGCGCGCTCTCCTGCTGTGGCGCCCGCCGTGCTCCCTCCTTGGGCGTTGCTTAATGGGGGGGTCACAAATGGGGGGGTCAGAAACGGTCCCCTTTCGTGCCCCTTTCGGGCCCCTCCGAGGCCCCAGGGGGCTCGTTTGGGTACCGTTTGGGTACCTTTTCGGACCACCCTCGCCACCCCCCCATTTATGACCCCTCCATTACGCAACGCCCAACCTCCCCGGGGACTCTGGCGGCCGGGGGGCCCTCAAGAAGATGGCGCGGCGAGGGGGGCCCGCCCAGACATGCCAAAGCCTTCGGCCTCTGCCTCCTCCTCCTCCTCCTCCTCCTCCTCCTCCTCCTCCTCCTCCTCCTCCTCCTCCTCCTCCTCTTCCTCCTCCTCGGGCCCCTGCCAGGCCCCTAGGCCGTGAAAAGCAACTCGCGATGAGAAGTCGGCCCCAGGGAAAGGGTCGGGGCGTGCTGAAAAAATCCGGACACCGCGTGTCTGAGCAGAAGAGGTTGAAGAGGTCCATTGGGACGCAGAAGGACATGCAGTACCGGTACTGTGTCCTCCCTGGAGGCGTGCGTCCGACCCGAACACGTAGTATGACGATCTTGTAGTAGATCGTTTCCGAGCGGCGTGGCCAGAGAGCGCCCGTCACCGAGCATGTACTGTTAGAGTTCTCGGCGCGCGCGTCGCCCCTGGGGGGGGGGGCGACGCACACACACACACAGTATTATCAGGTCGGGCATGTCCTCCTGCAGGCGGATTTGGGAGGAGAAATAAAAAAAATCAAGAAAAATACTCACAAGCGGTCAAGTCATACTCAAAACATCTCGTCCCCAGACAAAGTTATGACAGTGCTTGAATATTCCTCCTGTAGAGGGGCACGCCCGACTTAACAGTAGTGGTATGATGAGGTCGCGCCGATCCGAGGCAACCCCAAGAGCGCCCCAAGAGCGGCCCAGGGGTGCTCTCTTCCGCTTGGGCCTGGCGGCTGGAGTGGCCCACGCGCTCGGTCTCGGCCGCCGGGGGGGGGGTCCCAAAAGGGTACTCCAGATTTCGTAATAAAAGGGAGGGGGTCTGGACACTCCAAGACAAGCCATTTCAGACCTCCCCTGTGGGAGAACCCTCCAAAACATCGTCCCCAGACCCCCAGGCCCTCCAAGATGGCCTGGAAGAGACCCCCCCGAAATGAGACCCCCCTCCCTTTATTACGAAATCTGGAGTACAGCGACCGAGCATGACGATGCTCAAAACGCGT